TAAGCTAAAATAGATACACCTTTTGAAGTAGTGAGTGAAAGGGGTTAAAACACGTGAAGGTCTGTGTGTGTTTATATTTTTGTTCCCTAATTGCATCTAATAGAACCAAATAAAAATTATATAGTTAAGAATAACCGTAAGGTACTTGGGACATATTTCTTTTTAAAGTTTATGTGCCAATAAAGTAGAAACCAGCATACTTTTAGCATTTAATACTGTGGACCTGAAAGATCACTTCGCTCAGATTAAAACAACAGCACTCTTTCTGATCATGGCCATCTCTAGTGTTCTCATCACTTTAGCAGCAGGTGAGCCAATCCTTTCTGTGAATTTTACAAGTCAAGACATTCTGTAAGTTGATTTGATCAGGTGGGAAAAAGCATAACAGTGAACTGACAGGAGACTTTTGAAAAGAGTATGGCAGAATTTGATCAGTTCCCATGGTTTTATAACAACAAAGGGAAATGCTAAGATTGAAGTTTTGAGAAAAATGATAAAGGCACAAAAGGACAAGGAAACATTAATTCAATCTACATCATGAACTCTTTTGAATATGATCATTTTTAATAAGCCACATATGTAGTTTAAGATCCTGGTATGCATTATTTTGCAATGCATTGCACAAAGGCTGCATTACTTTTTAAATGGTTTATAGGTTGAGGGAGGCGACAGAACTGCAATATAAATCACACCAAGCTATTTGGACAATGATTCAAAATTGACCAATAGGTAAGTGCACATATATGGGCATTATCAAGCAACTTCTATATGCTGCTGTGTATGCAATTTCACGTAACCCCAAGAACAATTCTTGGAAGTTGGTATTGCTACTGCAGTTTTACACATGAGAATATGGAATCTTAAATAATGTGCCAAGCCTAGTTCCTCTGAGTCCAAGTCTGCTGCTCATTCCACAGAATCAATGATGGCAAATTAGGGCATAGATTAAGAGTCAATTTAATTTAGTATTGATATGATTATTTGGGCATTTTACTGCTCCTGATGCATAAGCAAACAGGACTGGCCATGTTCCTGCAAAGATATAATACAAACAAACAAAAAACCAGACAGCAAGTCAAACTGCCTACCCCGGAAGGATATTTAGGGGGTCCAATGCCTACTCTCATCTCTAGGTTGTTCTGGATTTCAGCCTACAGGCTAACACTATTTTTGGGTTTGGGGTTGAAAGATTGGTTATTCGCTAGTTTGGAATGGGGAGGAACATATCACAAATACACTGAGAATTCAAAAATGGATTTGGATCCATGCCCAAACTGACAGACAGTGACGGCTGTATACTTTTCAGGGCCCAGTGCAAAAGGAAATTACAGGGCCCCTTGTTCAAAAACAGAAAGAAAAAAAGAACCAGTAGAAGAACTAAATACATTTTTTTTCTTTCTTCTGTGGTCAATCTCTTGTCTCAGAATTTTTTACTTGCTATTTTATATTGTTCTAAGTTTAAAATTTTAAATTATTAGTGTGAATCTTTCCACTTATATTCCTATTGTGCAAGGCAAGTTTTAAATGTGAATACAAGAACATTGAGCTTGTTTGCAGAATCATTGAAATTATACAATTCATACATGCATATGTATTTTGTCCTTACCAGAATAGTAGAGATGCGGCAGAAAACTAACTCAACTGTTTCTATTTCACTTCTTTCTTTGCTCACATTCTACCCCTACTCTCTAGTTTGCCCTACTGATAAGTAAGGGAGGACTGAAACGAAAAGGAACTCTTTTTCAAAGGAACTATCTTATAAAGGAACTATTATTTTTTTCTTTCCATTGAAGTCATCATTTTCAGTGTAAATTATTGGCCAAAATAGGGAAGTAACACTAGTTAGGATATGATAGATTTTCTTGGTTATTTGTGTTTCTTACTGGTAAAGCACCATTGTCTTCTTTTTGTGTTCAGAACAAGTTTTTGTTCTAATAGAGAGTATGACTTTTGGGGATGTCAGTAGCCCTGCTTACTCAGTTATAGATATAACACACTTACCTTGTACTTGATTTAAGTCCCACTGAACTCCGTGGGTATCCCGGGACATTATGAATGCTGTGTGCTAACAGGCACAGCAAGGCATCCTCATGGACACGCTCATTGTGTGGACCTACTATGCTCACCCACATGCTCCTTTATCCCCTTGAACTTCACTCATACAAGTTCAAAGATAAAATCATTAAGAATTTCAGGATGGCAACAACAGAGCATTAACCTAAGGACAGGGACCTTTTACGCACTGGGACCACCAGGCTGGCACACTTATGAAACTGGTCTTCCTGCGACAGAGAAAAGTAGCTGGGACTTTTGGTGCCTACCATGATGGTGTAGGATTAAGAGCTAAAGACTGGTTAAAATGCAAACTTCCACTATCTGAGGACAGAAATGCAAATGGTAGCAGGTGGATTGAGGAGGAATGTCAACCATGAAGAAGAACTAATAAGATAGCAGTGAGTTGTCCATCCCCTAACCTCTTTACGCCTCAGCTTTCACCCCAAAGCAGACCAAATTAGGGAGCTGTGCTGACAATTAAATTTCTGGGAGAAGCCAGTTTTCTGACTACCGGCCTGAAATGAGAGTTTCCGTCTTGCCATCCTGAGCTATTTGGGAAGATCTCTGTTGGTTCCCTCCTTTTTTCTCTCTCCTGGTCCTGTCCCAAGGCTAGTTCTAGTCACAGAGCTGCACTGCCATAGTGGTGGCAGTGGTGGCACACTAAAATGAAACCTGAAGGAAAACCTGTCTTTCTGGGTTGGATTATGTAGGAGAAGGTCCTTATGTGTAGAAATTATACCCCACAGTATTCAGGGTGATAGGGCATCACACTGATAATGACTCAGGTATGTTTATTTCTACATTTATCTACATGCATGGAAAATCTGAGTTCACATGGATGCAATAAATTCCATTCCAATACCACATGATTTATTTTATATTTTCTATTTGTAACTTCCTTCATTAATGAGAAACTGGTTTCAGTCTTACTATTTTCACTCCTTTGAGCAATCCTTCTATGTGTAATGCCTTGCTCACTCTGTTCAGCTTGTGACATTCTCCTGTGGTCTGCATCCCTCACCTGGAGGCCCTCCCCACCCCCACTGAGGTTCAGACACCCATGACTACTGCCTGCCTTCCTTTCTCTCTCTCTCTCTCTCTCTCTCTCTCTCTCTCTCTCTCTCTCTCTCTCTTTCTCTCTCTCTCTTTTTATTCCTTTTTTTTGTTGTTAATACTCACTGGGGGATATTTTTCCCATTGATTTTTAGAAGTAGTGGAAGGAAGGGAGAGAAAGAGAGAGGTAGAGAGAGAGAAACATAGATGTGAGAGAGACATGTGGATTGGTTGCCTCCTGCAGGCATGTGCCCTTGATGGAGAATCAAACCCAGGAAATTTAAGTCCAAGGGCCAATGCTCTAATCATTGAGCTATACCGACCAAGGCAACTATAGCCTTCTTAACCCTTTTCATTTCTCATTCTCAAAGGCTCCAATACTCAGCTCTGAGAAATCATGGCCCCCCAACTACCAGCATGTATGGTCCCACCTAATGGTTATTGTATTAAATTTTCCAGGAAATGAAGGAAAGGAATAAAGAAATTTAATTTTCAAATGCTTTATAGTCACTTCTGTCCACAGGATAATTATCCACACAGGTATGTGATTTCTCTAGCTCTTTTATATAGTCTCATCATTCACTGTAGTATCCCAAGTGACTAGAAATGTGCCCAACATATAGTAGGTTCTCAGAATAGTTATTTATTCGGTTAATGTTGCCATAACCAGGATTATGATGTCATCTGCACTCAGTAGCTAGTGAAACAATCTCTCTGGTTTGGTTAAAAATCCAAGACCAGAACTGGATTTGCTGGGATGGCAGAATGCTTCCCAGGATCCACTAGTACTTGCTCTGACAACCCTTCTAGTAGTCACTGGAGGAAGTGGCGTGAGGGTGAATACCCCCTTTAGGATCATATTAAATGGGACTTAGGAACACTTGCTTCTAATGGGCTTATTTGTAATCAATAGGGTATACATTTCAACTTGTGTCTTAATCATGAGTATCTGATCATAAACCTTAATTATTGTTTATTCTTTTTTATATTTTTATAGCCTCAATTTAGTCAGATATTTAGTGTCTACAGTATTGGTTATAGCTCCTTTTAAAATATTATTATCTAAGATAATTGGATATTTCAACGATTTTGTTCTTTTTGGGGGGTCATACATGATCCCTTCCAAAGTAACTGACTACACAGTTACATCTGGGAGTGTTCCTATATATTTATTTTTTATGAGCTCAACTAGGAATGCTTGTTCTAGTGAGCTATAACCTCTTTATCCTCAAAACTATTATTTATTTTAAATAATAGGTTTATATTTTTTATTGATTTCAGAGAGGAAGGAAGAGGGAGAGAGAGATAAAAACCTCAATGATGAGAGAGAACCATTGATCAGCAGCCTCCTGCACAACCCACACTAGGGATTGAGCTCATAGCCTAGGCATGTGCCCTGGTGGGGAATGAAACCATGACATCCTGGTTCATAGGTCAATGTTCAACCACTGAGCCACACCGGATGGGCAAACCTATTATTTCATAGGTATGTATTCTTTGTTCAGTCCAAACTCCAGTCATCATTTGGAATTAGAGATGAATGGAACCCCTATTCCTCTAAGACTTCTATTTTTATGCCCAGGACTTCTAATTTCCTAGGAATTCATCTTACATTTTCTCTGGAAGTGTTCATTCATTTCCATGTTGGATTTGGTATCAAATACACAATGGAATGCATTTCAGAAAATTCTTTGTTATATATCAGATGCATGTGCAGGCACTCAGCAAACCATCCTGTTCCCTAAGACTTGGTTTTCTTCAACACTGCCACAAGTCCTTTCCTTCTGGAGTTGTGAATAGTTTTGTCTTGTTACACTGGAGAATTCTTACTGTTCTGAGCATCTTCTCTAACATGTGAACATGCGCTTGGGGGGACACTCTTGTCTTTTCAGGGCCTGGTCTGGAAGCAGCAAATGGGTGTTCTGATCCAATATACAGGCTGGGGAGCACATGGCCCCGTGGAGGTGAGTGTAGAGGCAGCATCTTGTGGAGATGAATTAAAATGTAAGGGAGACCATCAGGCAGATTTGTCAGCTGGAAAGAGATAGACAGACCTGGGGAAGCCAGATCACAGCTGAGATGAGCAGAGGGTGGGAGGAATTATCTGAACCCCACAGAGAATTTTATCAGACTCCTCCAGGCTCTTCAGATGAAGGCAGGATGGTTGCTGTTAAAGCTGCTGACCCAGTGTGGGCGCTCATCATGTAGTTCCTGTGGTGCTGACTTCTTTTTTTCTTTCTGTGGCCATGTTGCTCACTCTCTCTCGTGTCCAATTTCCTTCCATTTCCTCTTTGTGGTTTCATGAAGAATGGGCACTTGAAGTAACTAAGATTTTCTTCGGCCTTGAGAAAGTTCCTGTTGCTAATCCCGGCCAGCTCCTTTAAGGAGCACAGCTCAGAAAGTCTGCCCTCTGGCTCCCTTGCTCCATCCACAACCTTCATCCCAAATCCCTTGAACTGACCCATTTCACACTCACTCCTATCTTCTGAAGGAGTTATTATTTCCCATTTCTGACCTTGTTTCTTCCCTCGGGCCAGCAAAATATCTTTCCAGCAATAAACTTGCTTCTTGTCTTGACTGTAATTTAGTTTTTCTCCACTGCCTCCAGAAGTAAACAGCCAACCTGGTCAGCCCAACCTGAAACTGTCCATCAGGGAAGTTCCCATGATCTCTGTGCCCAGGGGAGGCTCTTGAGTTCTCTAAGTGGGACCCAGCTTCCTTTCTCCAACTGGGACATGTGTCATCTTCTTGTATTAGTAGGATATAGAGAGGGACTCTTCAAACAGAGGGGTCAGCTATAGCATTTACCCCTCTCAAGGTGGCTGTTTGCCTCTGGCAAGCAGACAAACATCAACCCCTCTTCAGGGTACTAGAATTGAGTCCTTTGGATTCCATACCTTAGTATTGTCAAGTGGAATTATTGTCCTTATGGTTTTCCCTGCTGGCTCCCTTAGCAGACTTCCAGAAAACTGGATGTATAATATAATTCCCCTGCATCCTGCTTCCATAAAACAATAGCTTTAAAAGTTTTTCTTCTTCAAAATGTCTATTTCCTTTCTCTTATTATACGAGGGAAATTTAGGGGGACACATTTTAGCAGATTATCTCAATTATCATCAGTCTGCTGGTGCATTGCTGCAGGCCTACATTGTCTTCCACCAGTAGACAATGCAAAGAACCTGAATAATCTTGGAAAAGCACAGATAATCCACAGTCTTTATTTTACCTTTACGTTTATGATTTTTTTCAAGTCTTCTCCCATTTTAATGGTTAACAAGAAATAAAAGAAAGTACTTAAATATTATTTTAGTTACCTTCTCATTCATGATTGTAGCTAGCAAGAGAGATAAGAAGGATGCGTGAATTTATTCAAGAAAATTTATTGTGCACCTCCTACACACCAGACACTAAGAAATGGCTTCATGGAGGTGAAATAACAGTGTCTGTTTTCCAGGATTTCATGGCCTACTATGGATGGGAACCTGCATATAGTAAAATACAACATTAATATTAAGAGAAGAGTATTTTAAGTGCTGTGAAAACATATGAAGAACACTTAATGCTACTGGAGGGAGAAAGGAGCTTAGGGAACGTTTCTGAGAGGTGATGACGCCTATGCTGAGTCATTCAAGACCTAGAGGAGATTGACCAGATGTAGGCAGATTTCAGACAGAGCGACCACCACTGACAAGTGTGGGAAGCAAGAAAGACTGAGGACTATGCTGGGATCGCAGGACATTTGGTCTGTGTAGAGCCTGGGGAATGTGGAGGTGCAGACAAGAAGGAGGGGTAATGCCCCTCCTGTGGAATCTGAGATATACTTGAAGGTTTGGAAATCCACTGATAGAATTTAAGCTGGAGAAGGGCATTATGATAATTACGCATTTGAAGAGAATTTTGCTTCAATATAGCCCATGGTTTAGAATGCGACGAAAATATGTGAAGGAGGAGATTTCAGGAAGATGGCGGCGGTATAGGCAGACGCGTCCCAGGTCATGTCCCTGAGCAAATGGAGTGAGCAGCTGAAACTAGTAACATCCACCCCGAATTGGCGAAATTCCTCAGCTGGCGAGAGACGGTTTACAGCCGGGAAGAGCAGAACTCCCCTGGAAAGTGCCTGGTACGTGGTGCCTTGTTGTGTTGTATCTTGTGCCTTTAAATCAACACAGCAGATCCAAGCAACAGCAACCTCCTGAGCACCACACCCTCTGCTGAGGAACAGCAGCTGTACGTGAAACCTCGCCCCACCAGCCAGAAGAGCCACCACAGCTGTGAACAGCACCCACCAGAGGAGTTGCTGCCAACTGAAGAGCAGCTGCTACCGCAACCGCCCGAAGAGGAACCGCAGACCAAGGAGTCACTGCCACCAAGGGAGCAGCCACTGAACGACTCAACGTCTAGATATGTCAGTGAGATCAAACATGGGTAGACAAAGAAACCCCCAAAGGAAAGAGAAGGAGGACTCTCCAGAAAAGCAGCTAAGTAATACAGAGGCATGCAACATGACAGAAAAAGAATTCAGAATAAGGGTCCTAGAGTGCATAAACCGGATGGAGGAAAAAATCGACAACCTCAGCAAGAAGCAAGAAGAAACAGATGAAAAAATCGATAACATATGGAAGAAGCTAGAAGAAACAGATGAAAAAATCGATAACATATGGAAGAAGCTAGAAGAAACAGATGAAAAAATCAACAACTTAAGTAAGACCCAAGAAGATATGAAGAGTGATATAGCTGCAATGAAAAACTCCATTGAAAGTATCAACAGTAGACTAGGAGAAGCGGAGGACCGAATTAGTGATTTAGAAGACAAGGAAGCAAAACACACCCAAAATGTACTGCAATTGGAGAAAAAAATGAAAAGACAGGAGGAGAGCCTAAGGGAGCTTTGGGACAACATGAAACGAAACAACATACGAATAATAGGGGTACCAGAACAACAGAAGGATGAACAAGGATTAGAAAACCTATTAGAAGAAATAATATCAGAAAACTTCCCTGAGGTGGGGAAGAAAAAAGTCACACAAGCCCAGAGAGTCCCAAACAAGGTGAACCCAAAAAGACCCACACCAAGACACATCATAATTACCATGGCAAATGTTCAGGACAAAGAGAGAATCTTACAGGCTGCAAGAGAGAGACGGAAAGTTACATACAAGGGATCTCCCATTAGATTGTCAAATGATTTCTCAACAGAAACACATCAGGCCAGAAAAGAATGGACGGAAATTTACAGAGTGATGCAAAGCAAAGGACTGAATCCAAGAATACTCTATCCAGCAAGGCTATCATTCAAACTTGAAGGGGAAATAAGAAGCTTCACAGACAAAAAAAGGCTAAGGGAGTTTATCACCACCAAGCCAGCAATGCAAGGAATGCTAAAGGGACTGGTATAAAAATAAGAAATAAAAAGCTCAGAAAGAAAACAGCCACACAAAAACAGAAATGCCTACAAACAAGTACCTTTCAATAATAACTTTAAACGTAAACGGACTAAATGCTCCAAACAAAAGACATCGAGTGGCTGAATGGATAAAAAAACATGACCCATACATCTGCTGTCTACAAGAAACCCACCTCATTAGAAGGGACTCACACAGACTGAAAGTGAAAGGATGGAAAAATATCTTTCAGGCAAATGGAAAGGAAAAGAAAGCTGGGGTAGCAATACTTATATCGGACAAAATAGACCTCAAAGTGAAGGCCATAACAAGAGATAAGGAAGGCCACTTCATAATACTAAAGGGATCAATACAACAAGAAGATATAATCCTGGTAAACATATATGCACCCAATGCAGGAGCACCCAAATTCATAAAAACACTCCTGGAAGATATCAAAGGAGACATCAACAACAATACAATCATAGTAGGGGACTTTAATACACCACTGACAGCACTGGATAAGTCCTCTAGACAAATAATCAGCAAAGATATAGCAATCCTAAATGACTCACTAGAGCAGATGGACTTAATAGACATCTTCAGAACACTTCACCCGAAAGCCAGGGAATATACATTCTACTCAAATGCTCATAGGACATATTCAAAAATAGACCATATATTGGGTCACAAGCAAAGTATCCCCAAATTCAAGAAAATTGAAATCATAAAAAGCGTCTTCGCAGACCACGATGGCATAATATTAGAAATAAACTACAATAAAAACAACCCAAAATACTCAAACACCTGGAAGCTGAATAGCATGCTATTAAATATTGATTGGGTTACCAATGAAATCAAAGAAGAAATTCGAAACATCCTGGAAACTAATGACAATGAAAACACAACAATCCAAAACCTATGGGACACAATGAAAGCAGTCCTGAGAGGGAAGTTTATAGCTCTACAGGTCTATCTCAACAAACAAGAAAAAATGGTAGTAAATCATCTAATTCTACAACTCAAAGAATTAGAAAGAGAGCAACAAGAAAACCCCAGAGTGAGCAGAAGGAAGGAGATAATAAAGATTAGAGCAGAAATAAATGACATAGAGACCAAAAAAACAATACAGAAAATCAATGAAACCAAGAGCTGGTTCTTTGAAAGGATAAACAAGATTGACAAACCTCTAGCCAGACTCACCAAGAAGCAAAGAGAGAGGACCCAAATAAACAAAATCAGAAATGATAGAGGCGAAATAACAACAGACCCCACAGAAATACAAATGATTGTTAAAAAATACTATGGACAGCTCTACTCCAACAAACTAGACAACCTGGAGGAAATGGACAAATTCCTAGAAAAATACAACATTCCAAAACTCAATCAGGAAGAATCTAAAAATCTCAACAGGCCAATAACTATGGAAGAAATTGAAGCAGTCATCAAAAAGCTTCCAGCAAACAAAAGCCCAGGACCAGACGGCTTCACAGGTGAGTTTTACCAAACATTCAAGGAAGAACTAAAACCTATCCTCCTCAGACTACTACAAAAAATTCAAGAGGAAGGAACACTTCCAAGCT